TTGCTTAAGCTTAAACTTTAATTAAAAATATATTTAAATAATATCTTAAAGTTTTAATTAAAAGTTTTATATTAAAAGAAATAAGGCTAAAGTAATTAAAAGCCTTTAGCTAGCTTTTTAAATAATTAAAAATTATATAAAGATATTATATTTATCCTTATTATTATATTTAATAATAATAAGCTATAATTTCTTATATAGCTTTTTAATTTTACTTTTAATCTTATAAATAATATATAACTTAAAAAGTTAAATACCTTTATATATCTTAAGATTAAAGTATTTAAAGTAAAAAATATTATTATTAATTAACTTTATAATTTTCTTATAATTAAACTTTTTAAATAAATTACTTAAAGTATTAATTATGCTATTATATTAAAGCTTTAAAAAAAAATTATAATTCTTAACTTTTTATTAAGTAAGATATATTTTTTTTAACTTATTCTTTAATTTCTTAGGCTATTTATATTATTAAGATTATAATAATTTTAATATTATTAAGATTAAATTTAATTTAAATTAAATAAGCTTATTAAAAGCATTATTTAAGTTAAAAACTAGCTAAATATTATCTTTATTATTCTTATTTTAATAATATAATTAAATTAATATTAATTAAAAAACTATTAAGCTATTTAAAAGATTTAATATAAAGTTATATTTATTAATGCTAAGCAACTTATATAATTTTTATTAATTATACTTTTTTTATTATATTTATATATTATTTTATAATAAAAAACTTAATATTTTTATAATATTTAAGTTATTATAAATATTTAAAGTTATATTAATTTATTATTTAATATAAACCTTATATAGCTTTCTTATAGCTTTTTAAATAGCTATTATTTTCTTAAAAGTTAAAAAAGTTAATGCAAAATATTTTATAAGTTTTAAATATATATTAAAAATAAGAAATATTAAAATAATATTATTAAAGCTAATTATATTATTTATTATCTTAATAATTATTTATAAAATAACTTTCTTAATATAAGTTTTTAAAAGTTTAATATAAAAAATATTAAAAGCTTATTAAAGCAAAGCATAATATTTCTTAACCTTATTAATAAATTAATATACCTTTATTAATACTTATTTATAAATAATGCTTATAATTTATATAATGCTTTAAAATTTTATTAAGATAAAGTTAATTTTAATATTATAAATAATATAATTTAAAGGTTTTAAATAAATATTTATTTAGCATTATTAAATAACTTTTTATATATTCTTTATAAAAAAAGAAATTAAAAAATATTTAATTTAAAAAGAAGTTATTAAATTAATAACTTATAAAATAAATAAAGTAAGTAAATATATAATATTTATAATAATTTTATAATTAAAGTTAACATTATCTTAAAGATTAAACTTAAAACATTATAATATTATAAAATAAAGTTAATAATAATAATAAAACTTAAAAATTACTTTTAAAATAAAAGAATTAATATCGCTATAATTAATATTAATAAAAAAGTATAAAAAATAATTAATTAAAGAATATTTAAACTTATAATAAAGTTATTAAAGCTTTATTTTTATTAAGAATATTATTAATATATTATTATTTCTTATATTAAGAAAAGTTTATAAGTATTCTTATTTTTAAATAATTAAAAAGATCTTTTTTAAATATTTATCTTTTTATTAAATTACCTTATTAATAATATTTTAAAAAAAAAGAGTTTTTATTTATATTTTAAATATAAAGAATAAAGGGAATAAGTTTATTTATAATATAAAATATTAATAACCTTATTAAAGTATTAACTTATATTATATTAAATAACTTAATAAGTAAGCTTAAGCTAAATTATATTTATACTTTATTAACTTATATAATATTTAAGTATATAAAAGATATTTAATATTATAAAGCTTAAAATTATTTATATTTAATTATTAAGAATATTATTATACTTATATTTAATATAATATCTTAATATTATTAATAAGAGTATTAATCTTAAATAATAAATATTTTTATTATTAAATAATTTTTAAAATTAAAGTAAATATTAAAGCTGCTTATATCATTAAAAAAGTTATAAAGAAAGACTTAATTTATAAAAAAGGTATAATAAGTATATCTCTTTTTATTATTATTAATAATTAAAGTTATTATAATGCTAATAATTTTAAAATTAAAATCTTTAAAGTTAATAAGAAATATATTAAGTTTATTATTATTAACTTATTATTTAATATCTTTATATATATAAATATATATAACTTTAATATATTATTAATCTTTAAGTAAATAATTTATTAATTAATATTTCTTTTTATAATATATAAAATACTTTTTCTTTTTATATTATATATTATTATTATTACCTTTATTAAGCTAATATTTATTATTATAACTACTTTTATAAGATTCTTTATTATAACTACCGCCTTTAAATTAATAAGGCTAACTTAAGTAAAAATTTAATTAAAAGTTATTACTTTTAAAAAAAAATTAAAGATATTTTAAATATTAATTATTATTATTATATTATTTATTAAAATAATATTACTTTTTAATATTTATAATAATTAAATTATTATTATTTTAATTATTATAATTATTAATATAACCTTATTTATAAGCTTATTAATTATCTTTTATAATTATATATTATAATTTAAGATTTTAAGCCTTTAATACCTTAATATATTATTATAAAATAAAGTAAAGCTATTTAATATTTATTAGCATTATTAAGATAATATAATAAAATTTAAAAATGCCTTATATTATTTATAAAATTATATCTTATAAAAAGCTATCTTTATAAGTAATATATTTAAGTACTTTATAATAAAGCTATATTTTATTAATAAGCATTTAAAGAATATTTATATAACTCTTATTTAAGTTTCTTTATTAAATAATAAAAAAAGTTAAAGTATTTTAATTTATAAAATAATTATAGTAATTATTATTTATATTAAAGTAGTTTTTAAGTTTCTTATATGCTTAAATAAATAAGTTTTCTTAATTAATAACTTAAATATAATATATTTTTATTAATTCTTTAAGCATATATAAAAGAGCTGCTTTAAATTATTAAGGCTATATTTATAAATTATTATAAGCCTTATAAAAAAAAGGATTTTATTATTAAGAATATTATATAGTTTTTTAATAAATATTTTATTTTTATAATAATATTTACTTAAGTTAGCTATTATATTTAAATTAAATAAAAAATTCTTTATTTTTATTAAAGGTAAAAGAGTATAATAATTATATGCTATATAAAAGTTATTAATTAAAAGAAGATTATTACCTTTTAATAAATTAAAAGGTTTTAAAGGGCTATCATTACCTTTATTATTATTATTAAGTAAATTAAGCGATTTAAATAATTTAAAATTAAAAGAATTATTATTATTAAATAATTCCTTAGCTTTTATTATAATATAATTAAAGTTAAGAATAACATAGGTATTTAAATTATAATTTTAAATTTAATTAAATTTAAATATAATGCGGTATCTTTATTTTTAATTTATTAACTATTTAAGATAATTTAATGCTTTAAGGATATATATAAGTCCTCTTAAAGTATTTACTTTTTAAATATAAATGCTTTTAACTTAAAGAGTTTTCTTAATATAATATAATAAGTTTTTATTAACTTGCTTAAATATTAACTTAATTTAGCTATAAAAATCCTTAATAAATACTTTATATGCTTTATTACTTAATATATATATTATAACTTAAATTTAGCTTTAAATATAAGTATTTAAGTATTATTTATTATTAAGGGATTTTAAGAAATTTATTTATACTAAGGGATTAAGTATTTTAATAATACTTTTAAGTATAGAAATATAGTTTATTATAATTAATATTAATGGATTATTTTAGCTAGCAATATTGCTTATTATATTTATTATATTATTATTATTTCTTATTATTTTAATAAAGTAATAATAAAGGTATATTTAATTTAAAAAAGAAAGTAATGAAAAGGGGAAATAAATAATATTAAAGAAAAATAAAGAAGTTAAGGGTTACTTTTATAACTTAACTATTAAAAAGTAAATTAATTCCTTTCTTTATATTTATTTATATAATAAGATATAAATAAATATATTATTAATAAAAATAAATATTAATTTAATTCTTTTAATTATAACTATTAAATTTAAAAGTTATTATTAATATTATTTAAGGTATAATAAATATATATATATTAAGCATAAGGGAGTTTATTATAATTTCTTATTATAATAATTATCTTTTTATATATTAAATATTATTATTATTATAAATTACATTATATAAATTTATAATATTAATAATATTAATTAATATAATTAAAAGATTATTTTTTTAAGCCTTGCTAATTTATAATTACCTTTATAACTATTAATTAATAATAATTAAGTTATATATTATAATATAATATTTAGTTAATATAATAGTTAATTATTATTAATTATAAAAAGAAGGAAGGTAAAAGGCTTAATTATGCTAGCTATTTTATATGCAGCGCCAAGGCTGCTGCCTGCCGGGCATCTTAACGAGCCAAAGCTGCCTAGTCCCAAATAGTCCTCCATACAAACAACACCCATTATTCCCACAAAAAGCTTTATTAAATAATTTTTTATATTAAAGATTTTTTTTTAATAATTAAAGCTTATTTTTAAAACTTTTAAGTAATTATAAAAGGTATATTAATTAATTATTTATTAATATTATAATAAATATTTAAGCTTTATATTATAAATATTTTTTAAAAACTTTTTAAAATATATAATAAGAAAAAGACTTAATTAATAATAACCTTATAAAAAAATTAATAGTTTAAAGCTTAAATTAAAATTAATTAAAAAATTATAAAAAAAAAGGGTTTAAATTAATTTAAATGCAACTTTTATTAATATTAAGGCTATTTATAAGGCTTAAATAAAGGTAAGAAGGGTATTAAAAGAAAGCAATACTTTTGAAAAATTAAAAATATTAATGAAAGAGGGATTATGCATTATAATAGCGGGTAATTAACGTTGAAGAGAAGGCGTATATAGGTGTTAAGGGCGGCTAGGAAGGGGGGGCGGCCGGGATTGGGGCCGGGGACGTTATCAAGTACCGCGGTGGTGTTGATATTTAGCAGCAGGATATTGTACCCATAAGAGTGTGGAAACCCAGGGAGTTTTGGCTCAGAACCATTTACTGGGGATGACAATGCCCGTAAAGGCTGAGTAGCGTTCATGAATTGAGGAAGACCGGTTGGCCTTTGGTCGAAGACCATCAGTCCAGGAGACGCAACCATGCCGTAATAGGTCGGAAATGGTACGTAGTCTCCCATGCTCGTCACCCTCATGGAGCTTTCACCTCCCTTGAAGGTCTTGTAGGCGACACTGACAGCTATTGGGAGAATGAGGAACAGGGTGAGAACGACCCGCCAGGGCAGGCCCAACTTCGGAGCCGTTGGTTTGTTGCGAAGGATACCATCGTAGTTCTGAAGTATGGAGGATCCGAATCTTGCTTCAATGAGCAGGAAAAATGTTGAAGTAACGCTTCCGAGGCAGAGGTTCATGATGCTAAGCAGGAAGCCGATGACGATCAATTGATTGTTTGCGACTCCCAGGCTCCACGCCGCGGCCTCATTAGCGACTGCTGTGATTGCCATTGCGAGACAGACGAGGGATAGAGCAGCCACTGCCAGATCCGACTTGCTAATTCTATTCTTTGCCCTAGGCTTGCCGAGCGGCGGAACTGCCGGTTGATGAGCAGAAAAGCTTGAACTCGCTGATGATCGGACGGGCTCTGTGTCATGCAGGCTGTGGTCGCTTTGCAGGTCATCCAGGAGATGCCCCATGGTAATGCCGTACCATAGATCGGCGTCTCCTACGCCGTACGCACTGCCAGTGTGCGGGGATGGCCAGGGTAGTGATAACGGCCGAGCCTGAGCATAGTGTGTAGGCTCTTCGCGTGAAGTCGGCATGGTTAACAATGGGAAATGATCGGAGTAGGTTCCTCCCAGAGTGAAGAGAGCGAGCATATCCGAACAAGTTGAACAACGTTTGTAGATCGAATGTTGGTCTTTAAATAACGACGTATGATTGAGACTATATAACAACTAGAAGGCTCACTTTCTCACTCGATTGTCGACTCTTTCGCGCCCACAGGCCTCAAGGACAACAATGCGTTCCGTAGGATCAAGCTGAACACAAGTATCACAGGGCTGAGCGGCCCAGTCTCTCGGAAGGCACAACGCGGCCGCCGTAGGACACTGCCCCGCTGTATGGTGCCTTTGAGGTGCAAGGTTCCAGGAACCACAATTCACCGGTAAACTGCTACATACTATGTACTGTACCTAGGTAGTCTGTGTGATGATGCCACAACTGCTGATATCCCCCGATGCCTCTCAATGGACGCCACTTTGATGACCGCCCACCAAGCTGCCCACCATGTACGGCCTCTGGTAACACGAAAGCTGAAGCCGTGGCTTCAGTAAATAGGGAATCTCCACTAGAGAGCTGCACTTTCACCTTGCAGCCAATAGACTTGGAGCATCGGGATGGCCTGACCTGGGCAGCTGCGACGTGGTGATAGCAGGGGAGCACCAAAAGAATGCGACCACCTACGGAAATAGTTGGGGATCCGAGAGTTGCTGTGCCTCATCAGACCATCGTGACCTGTCTCAAGAATTTTACCCGCCATCCTGTCTACAGCCTCGACATCTCACTGTTCCGCTTATTCTGCCGTCTCCAGCCAGCAACCTCAACAACCCCCACATGCACACCATCTCCTCATCATCGCCACCCGGCCCCGGCTGCGGCCTACGATGATCTGTTCAGCCATTTTCTACCCCCTCTGCTCGAAATTCACGACACGACCACCCAGACAAACCGAGCAGACGGGTCAAGTCCTAACTGCTCTCGGACAACCCAGACGCCTAGTAGCTCAAGCACTGTCAACCTGCCCTTCCTTGCTTCCCCTGCCCATGACGCCTAGCTTTTCCCCCCACGTCCACAAGACAACAGGCAACGGGAAGCAGAACACGACCCATAGGAAGGCGAGCATGCTATTTCCCCACCCGTAACCAAGGCGGTCATACAGGTCCGGCGCAAAGACGGGGAAGGCAAAACCAAGCGAGTACATGAGCACGCGCGTGGCAGCCGTCACCGACGCACCGTGCTCGACGAACTCGTCCAGCTGGTAGGCATTGAGCACCTGGCTGGCCATGAAGCTGCCGAGGGTGAAGACCGCGGCGCCGACGTCGATGGCCGGCCAGGCGACGGCGTGCTGCGCGGCCCAACCGTAGAGGAAGAGGCCGAGGGGCGTTATAATGACCCTCGGCACGAGGTATGGCACGCGGAACTCGGGCTTGCCCGTTCCGTCGCCGCCGCCGCCGCCGTAGCGGGCCGTCATGAGGCGGTATGACCAGTCCATGAGCCGCCCGCCGACCTGCGTGGCGGACGTGGCGCCGAAGGCGACGGATATGTAGTGCAGGGAGCTGATGAACTCGGGCTGGCCGTACTTGGTGATGTAGAGGTCGGCGAAGGTGCCGAGGAGGAGGGTGCAGATGGCGAAGTCGAGGGCGAGGATGAGACTGATCATCTGCACCACGGGGCGTCGGAGGAGCAGGCGGAATGGCCGCCACAGACTGACTCCAAGGAGGTTTAGAGATGCCTTTAAGGATGGGGATTCGATGTTGAGTCCGGCAGCCGTGCGATGGCTGCGTGCCCTGCGACGCAAAAGGACGGGCGTGTAGGATTCACGGATGCAGAGTACGCCGATCAGAGTAGTGAGGCCGTTGAAGGCACACATGATCCAGAAGATCCACTGCCAGGCAATCATCTGCGTGACGATGCCGCCTATGATGGGGCCCAGGGCAGGGCCGAGGTACGGGAGGAGCGACGAGATGGCCACGGCCTTGCCACGGTCTTTTCTGCCGTACATGTCCGCCATGGTAGGTCCGGTCAGCTGAAACAAAGGTGGATGTATTAGCTCTGTCTTGGATAGCCCTTGGGCTGTTACAAGCAGTGGTATGTAAGTAACTTTAGAACAGAGCGTCATCGTACCGTGACACCAGCACTTGCTCCCAAGCCAGTCATCGGCCTGCCCACAATCATCAATCTCTTCGAGTTACCGGCTGGACTGATGCCATTCCAAAGGATATACCAAACATTACCAGCGACCCAGACCCACTTGCGGCCGTATACCTCTGCAAAGGCGGCTGAGAAAAAGGGGCCAAAGGCCAGTCCGAGGAAGTACGTGGCAAAGACGATCTGGGCGGTAGCGGCGTCGATTCCCAAGTCGGCCGAGATGTCGCCAAGGGCAGCGGCGATCATGCTGGCCGTCATCAGGGTGACGAGCTGGCCGAAGGAGAAGATGACGCCAATGGTGATCTTGCGCCGTCGGGGCCATCCCAGGTGCTCTTGATTTCCCAGGCCATTAGCCGGAGAACGAAGTGACGAAAGGATCGGGACGGAGCTGGACTCACTCCGTATTGGACCCTGAGCTGCTCGAGGCGTCTGAGGCGAGCCTCAAGCTCTATATCGACGGAGACCGCAGCAGCATCAGCAGCTGTTTCGGAGTTGCCCCCGGAAACAGCACCGGTATCTATCTTGACCTCGTGATCAGTTGTCTCGATCTGTACATGTTGCTCACCGAACTGGTCTCGGTCAGTGGGAATCGGGCGAGTCGTGTCTAGCGCAGAAGCCATGGGCGTGGTTCAAAACAACGCTCAGACGAGAAAGAAGCCAGTTGCGCAGCTCACCTAAAATTCAAAGCTGGAAGAGAAGCTTGGAAGACAGAGCAGTTGTCAGCGGGAAGGGGGAGTCAGCAAGAGGTCATATGAAGACGCCACAGCAAGCACCGGGCGCGATCGGCCGAGCCATAGTGTCCTATGCAGTGCGCGAGTGCATGTATTTGGAAGGATGCGATAGAGAAAGATGTTGTCTCTGTGTGTGTATGTGTGATAGAGGACCACCTCAGCGATCCAAGGCTGAGACGCGGTCACCAAGTAGAATGATGGAAGCGCTGGCTGGCTGTCAATCGGCGCTCCGGTGTCGCACGCCACCGGGACTCGGCTCTCACTTCCTCTGCCTGGCTCAAACACAGCATGGGAAAAGCTGCCGTGGTTGCCTACGCACTTACAGCCAACGTTCACCAACAGCCAGGAGTCGGCCTTCGTTAGTCCCGGTCGGTCCAGTCGGTCGATCCAGGGGATCACGATCAGGCTTACTCGTCCTTACTAATTGTTGACTACTGTACGATAGCATTTGGACCCGTATCTGTCCGCTCCACATTCGCCGAGCCCGTCTTACAGAGTGCGTATTCGCTATTATGTCCGAGAGATTCAACGCCGAGCTGCCTGTCTGATGGGAAGGAGGCAAGGAGAGGAGAGACAGTCGGAAAACCACATCAGCGGGTGTCATCACTGTTGGTGATCACTCTCGCTTCTCTTTGGTAAATTCAGGGGCAATTCCAGGAAAGCCCTGCGATACCACAATTGCAGAGGCCAGACAGATAGTCTCGAAGAGGACACACCGAGGTGGCAACTGGATGGCTGGATGAATGAAGTCATGTCTCCAATATCCTAAACTTTTCTTCCTGCCGCTGGCCCCCTACATAATGATAACGAGGGAGCATCGTTGTTGACATAGAGATAATACACTTGCAAAAGTACGACCTCGGGAGAAGAAGTGACAATTCCCAGTCAGGCAGGTAGTGTCGGGGACGTCGGAATATGTGGTCAAGTACGACAAGACGCAGCCAACAGAGCCGGCTTGAAACATTACGCATTCCCATTCCTCACTTAATGGTTCCGTCTTCTCCTTCATTTGTCCCTCTCCCAGAAAAACTGTACGCACCCACCTAGGCCATGGGTATGTGTAGAGGTCGCGGGATTTGGTGCTGGCAGATCTCAGACAGGACTGGCACGGCAGGTCCCTCCCAGTGACACTGCACAAGGCCGTTGCGACTTCCTCAAATCGGTCTATAAGGACACATGGCCCATGGATCCAGAGCTTGTGCTGGCAGCAGCAGAAACAAACTCCCGCCTTGCTTTCTCTTCATCCTGCCCAGCCCAACATCACCACATCACCCACCAGCGGCCTGATTGCGATTCAGATCGAGCCACACTTGGACATGGAAGCCAAAACCCACCTCGACGCTTTCAACCCGACCACAGCTTCGCCTACCACCAACCATCAGTCATCACCTCGAGAAGCACAGGCGAGCTAGAAAGCCCGTCTCCGTTATTTCCAGACAACAAACGTCGCAGAGCGTCTGCCGTGCCATCCCACTACTTCAGAACATCAAGAGCCACCAAGCCCGCGAGAACCAGCAGTCTCTGCCGATGCCACCTCCACCGCACAGCTCGCAGATGACGAAGGATCGCATGGATGGCGTCCTCATGGAGTTCCACAATACCAGCTGCGACAGCCCAGACGAGTATATAGCGGAACCATCACACACTCCGACTCTCGATTTAAGCCGCTACTCTACTACGCACGGTCGGCGGGCCTGGTCCCTCCACCGGCATTGAGTTCAAGTGTTCTCTGCGCGACGCCTGGGGAATTTGGCTAGGGCGAGACGCAGGAGATATCACGAGGGGCCGCTAATCGTGAAGGAACATTTTGCACGACGAGGAGACGGCCCAGCTGTTCCCAAGGCTGCGACGGCGGCGCTGCAGAGACACCCGAAGCAGAACAGAAGAGAAGGGCGTTCGTTGCTAATATTATCAGGCAGCTGCTGCAGGGAAAGAGAACGAGTGATTTGCGGAAGAGGGCTCGTCAGTTGGTGCAAGAGCGGTGAGCTGACCTTTCGCCTTTCTTCCCGACCAACATGGCCCTTTTCATGCTTTTCTTCTCTGCCCCCTTTTCCGTCTTCTAACCTGAGACGAGCACGCGAGGTATCAAGGAAAGCTGAACGAATGGACCTATCAGACTCCCAATCTCCGGCACGTATTGACGAAACCGGCCAAGCCGACCCATGTCGAGCTTCGTCCCGAGCACCGACTGCACCCGACGACCATGCCTCCGTTGATGGCTCCGTTGGTGGCTCCGTTTGAACCTCCGTTAGTGAGGTCAGCCTTTTGACATTCCGTTTCATCTCTGCCACAGTCTGGTGTACCTCCATAACAACCTCAATGAGGCGCGTGGGGTTCAGTCAAGCAAACATGAGAAATGCGTCTGCTGACAGACTCGCTGCTGGAGAAGGGGCACCGGAGACGGAGCCCGAGAGGGCCTCGCCTGTCTGGGCTTTACACGATGCTACGGCATGATTACTGGGAAGGACGAGTTGGGCGACCTGCATCAAGACACCAGGAACGTGACGAGTCGGCTCGAAATCCTCCGACACGCCTTCACAGCAACCTTGACCCTCTGCCCTGGGGTTCCGATCTCGAATACGACACACGCGGTGGCATTCTTGCCAAGGACTTGTCTTGAGCACATTTTTATCTCCAGCTCGCCGTGCCCGGTCCTCTGAAGAGAGTTACACGACGCTGCTGTTCGCCTGTCGTCCCGAATACTGAAATCCAAGACCCACGACAGCTACTGGCGGTCGGACCCACGCCGCGGTCGGTGCCGACAGCCGCAGGTGGGGAGGAGCTGGACCGAGCTCCAGGGCATCAAGCAAATAGAAGCTTTCAAACAAGGTTCCCTCCGGCAGAATTATCGCGCGAGGTAGCACCTGAGGAGGTAGGGTTCCCCACACCTTTCTAGAAGGCTTCTTACTTTATCTGGAACATAGGAGGATGACACTCCGGGCCTAAGTTCCAACGGCGTGACGCCTCTCCTTTTCAGCGCCGGCAAATGGAGGATGGCAGCACGGCAACGATCGACGTCTGGTCTCCCTAGACTGGTTTTCTATTCATTTCAACACGGCTACTGCGTAAATGCTTAGCAGTCGATCATTCCCCCCAATGTACCCCGGACGCCACGTTAGGAGCTCTGCCGGCCACTATGACAAGTTCCAGTGAGGCCCAGACACAGTCAAGAGGGCGATCCCTGTCCAATCCAACCTTAAACCAACCTATGTCCACCACCGCCTCCTGATAGGTACGAACCTAGATATAGCTGATTCAAGGCATATGCGCTTTGGCACCAGGCTTAACCAGGAATCCCAACCGCAAACCAGCCCAGGAACAAGAACATGATTCGCCAAAGGCAGCTGTCCCGAGATTAACCGCCTGTCACATAGACAATTCCACTCGTACGACATGCATGGCATTCCTGGCGCTGGGTCATGTGGCTGGATGGAGACCAATGCCCGACACGTCTCGCCAAAAGCACCATGGGCCGACTCGTCCCTGACTGTCGGAATTCCCAATTTTCCGTCTACCCACCGCCACGCCACATGCCACGCCTACCACTAACCGTGAGGCGTACTGGGCAGCGTTGTCGTCTGACGTCCACAGCGAGAAGTCCATTGGTGCCATGACCCTTCGCCCCGACGAAAGAGCCAGTAACGTCTCCTCGTCTAAGCAGGCTCCTCAAATCGGCGGTTTTGAAGTCACAGTGACATGATTGGAGTCAAGACGATCAAGTGGTCGTCTGTTCACGCAAAACAGCCCTGTCGAGTCGGAACACGAGCGGGCAGCGGGCGGTGCAAGGGTGGTGTAGTGGCCCCTCCAGCGCCTGGCCTCGACGAGGCAGCGAGCATCGCGCAGGCATTCTATTCTGGCTCCTACCGGTCGAGTATGAGGGGAAGCATGGAATATCGGATTCCGATCCGCGTCCTCCAGGAGCACTTGGCTGAGTGTGAGCCCCTTGCTACGAAGTGTCAATGAAGACCCTGCGAGCATGTTCAAAGTCATCTGGCCGCTTGGCTACGCAAACCTTGACACAGCCCCTTTCGCTGTCCAATAACCTTCCGGCCTTCCATATTACCGGCCGCACCCCCATCGTTTCTCTGGTCCTTCATATTATTTCCACCAAGATCTAAGTTCTGATGCAACTGTGGATCTCAGACTACGCCCTAATCTGCATTGTGAGGTCGCCGCTTCCCTTCCGCCCTCCACGGGGGACATGCGGCCCTCCTCCTGGTTGTTTTTGGCCCCCTTCCTGTCCACGTTGTCATGCGCCAGTCAGACATGCACCGACCTCGTCGCAGTGGCTATGGGGCAAGTCAGCGTGTTCGCCCACCCTGCTAGCCTCCGGCAAATATACTGCTGGGCGGGATCTTCCATTATCCACCCACATGTTGACATCAGAGTCTCCTTGAAGTCGGAAGCCGGCCCATCGTTCCATCTTGGATCGTGTTAAACAAATGAACCCTCCACATATCACGTCTCCGACTTCGCCGAATTTCCTTTTTGGGAGAGCTCCCTGGTCAACATGTGCCCATTTCACCCGCCCAGCCGGAGCATGAAGCTTGTAATAGACTGCATATAAACCCAAGACCTGGGCCATTGCTTGGTGAGCTTGTTCAGTCATCGATCTTCACAAACACCCCAAACAAGCATCGGATCAGCATCAATACCAAGATGATCAGCAAAATCGCTTTCGCGAGCGGCCTGCTCTCTGCTAGTGTCAGCGCCCAGGGCGTCGGCACGCAGAAGACCGAGACCCATCCCACGATGACTTGGCAGTCGTGCACTTCCCCGTCGAGCTGCACCACGAACAATGGCGAGGTTGTGGTCGGTATGTTCTGAACATCACTCAAACTTGAAATTTTCGAAGCCCATTCTCACAACCGTCCAGATGCCAACTGGCGATGGGTCCATGACAAGAACGGCTACACCAACTGCTACACGGGCAACACCTGGAATTCTACGATCTGCCCTGACAACAAGAGCTGTGCCGCGAACTGCGTGCTCGACGGAGCTGACTACGCTGCCACCTATGGCGCCACCACGAGCGGGAACGCCCTGTCGCTCAAGTTTGTCACCCAGAGCTCAAACAAGAACATTGGCAGCAGACTGTACCTCATGGAGTCTGCGACCAAGTACAAGCTCTTCAACCTGCAGAACAACGAGTTCTCATTTGACGTTGATCTGAGCAAGCTTCCTGTGAGTCACCATCGTCACGGCTTCTTCATGAGAGTGTGAGCTGAGCAGAAATCATAGTGCGGCCTCAACGGTGCGCTGTACTTCGTCTCCATGGATGCCGATGGTGGCATGTCCAAGTACTCGACCAACACCGCCGGAGCTAAGTACGGTACTGGATACTGCGACTCCCAGTGCCCTCGCGACCTTAAGTTCATTAACGGAATGGTATGTGCCAAGAGTAACGCCACCGAGCAGTAACGCTCCCACTAACGCTCCCTACCCAAATAGGCCAACGCTGAGGGCTGGGAGCCGTCCTCAAATGACCCCAACGCAGGAGTGGGTGGCTCGGGCTCATGTTGCGCCGAGATGGACGTGTGGGAGGCCAACTCGATCAGCACGGCCTTCACGCCGCACCCGTGCACCAACTCTGCCCAGCACATCTGCTCCGGTGATGCCTGTGGCGGCACGTACTCGGCGACGCGGTACGCGGGCGACTGCGACCCCGACGGGTGCGACTGGAACGCCTACCGCATGGGCAACACGGGCTTCTACGGCCCCGGCAAGACGGTCGACACGACCAAGAAGTTCACCGTCGTCACCCAGTTCACCTCCAGCGAGATCAAGCAGTACTACATCCAGAACGGCGTCAAGATCCAGCAGCCCAAGTCCACCGTCTCGGGCCTGACCAGCTACAACTCCATCACCTCGGCCATGTGCACGGCCCAGAAGACCGCCTTCGGCGACCAGGACGTCTTCAGCCAGAAGGGCGGCCTGTCCGGCATGGGTACTGCGCTCAGCAAGGGCATGGTTCTTGTCATGTCCCTGTGGGACGACGTGAGTACCTCCCTTGATACCGCCAGGTGATGGCTTTTATGATGCTAACGTTGCCGTGACAGCACTACGCCAACATGCTGTGGCTCGACTCCAGCTACCCCGTCAGCGCCAGCACCAGCAAGCCCGGCGTCGCCCGCGGCACATGCGCCACCAGCAGCGGTGTCCCCTCCGACGTCGAGTCCAATGCTGCGTAAGTCCTTAATCACCGGCGTGTGCTTTCCTTCCTCCCTTGGTTGGTACGTCACTAACAGAACCGCTGCCCAGCGACTCCACCGTGATTTACTCCAACATCAAGTTCGGCCCCATTGGCTCGACTTACTAGATTGTGTCATTGAAAACATTTGGGGGGTTTTAAGAAATGAGGGGATGGGATGTTTGGATCGTGCGCCCCTCCTGACGTTCGCTGCAGGGGGGTGATGGCAAAAGAGATGGGTTGATTCTGATTCTTGCCACTGTACATATTGGCTTGAAATGCCTCCTTTCGTAAATTCGCATAAGGTCCTGCCCCAGACCTGAGTCATTTTCCTGGCGCTGGTATGCCTTCGTCGATGTCCCCGTGAATGCCAAAAGGCAAGGCAATGCATTTGCCTCTCCCATACGAGGCACTCGCTCTCCATGAAGGGGAACTGACTGATTGAGGAGTCATCCGCCTAAACCACCCTAGCACGCGCCGCAGACATTTCTCCTTGCAGTTGGGTTTTGGTCAATCTATCCTGTCGAACAAAGCGATCAACTCCGCTGTGGCATGCGGCGTAGTATCTCGCATCGCCGGCGGTCTCGAAACGAAGCCACAATTCGTTGCGATTCTCAGAATCACCGACGCAGACAATCTCCGAAGTTTCATAGCTGCCGATCGAGGAAATTCGGCATGTGGCCGGCGTGATCCAAGCCAGCTCCGGGATCAGAACGCCAGTTTGGGCGTTCACAGCTTCAAAAGGCGACGGGCGTCCTGGTGTGTGACGCAAGATGCAGAAAACCTTGGTTCGTCCCTTCTTGTTTCCCTTCTTATCCCCGGCCTTGTAAATCTTGTCCGGTGCGCGGATGGCATCGAGTACCCTGAGACCTTGGGGAGGCTTTGTCCCATCGTGAAGATGAGTCGTGCCATCACAGGCGATGTAGGACAACATCAGATCCTTTCCCAGGCCCGGTATCTCCGTAAGCAAGAGCATGACCTTTGGCACCTGGAAGACTCTGTCATTCTTCATCCACAGAAAGTTTAGCAGCTTCTGCCGAAGGTACTCGGTGCTGTTGTCTTTGTATGCCTCTCTGATCGACTCAAGCACCTCGTCTATTTCGAGCATGCGTGCAGGAGTGTTCTTGATGTCACCGGTACTGGGGATAGCGAGTAAGGCGTCGAGATACACACGGAGACGTGCATTGACCTTGCTCCGCAACTCACCAAGCAGGAAAAATTCGGCCACTCGGAAAAGCTTGACGCATAGTGCTGGGATGCCTTTGCCATTGGCCAGCTTTAGGATGGTGAGGTCTGTTTGCGCGGTCAGTGGGATTCGAATTGGTTCGCATTTAGAAGCTTGATCGTTTCAACGCGTACCCTTGCTGTAGATGAAACGAAGCATGATGTGGATTATATCAGGATCCTGCTCTTCGAGCACAATCTTCCCGGACGCAGCCTCCTGTAGCCACTTTTCGTTAGCTTGCTGTGCCCGAGTGAGAATTGAAGACCACAGATACAAGCTAACAACTCACCGCCATGTTTCCAAAGAAAGCATGCTCGAACAACTTGCATCGGGAGCTCAGGAGGGCCTTGTGAACCTTCCAGGCCCGGTCACCACACACGATGGTGGCGTCGGCGAAGTTTCCGGTCTCGAAAAGACGAACATCGGCGTTGGCAAGGATGCCATCGCCACCGGGGTCAGACATCTTGAGATGTTGAAGTAGCAGCGGTGATGGTCTCGAAGGTGGTTTTTGACAGTGGTTGTCGTCGAATGAGTGTAGGAGAGATGCAGAGGTTGGGGGAGGTTTGAAAGTTCTGAAGCTTTGAAGGCAGTTGGGACGAAAAGGTGAGGTTTTGGTTCACGGCTGGGAAAGCAGAACTGCTGTCGCTACACCCAAACAGAGCTAAGTAGCGGTGTGCAGGTAGCAGAAAGGAAGTATTATGTGTTGTCAGTTCTTTCCATTCGGCTTCTATTCAAACGAGGAGAACCACATGGAAGCGGACCGTCCTGTAAGATGCGGTCTTGTCTCAAAGGTACCAGCGGGAAACTTTGGATGAGGTGACCTTTTCGGATATGACCAAATGCATCTGATCACCCAGGTCTTGCGTCTCCCTATTAACGTACGTTTGAGTGTCTGGGAAAGTTAAGCTGGACATAAGAACGCAGTAAAAACTAGGGGGGAGTCATGCTGCCGATTTCGATTGTGCCTGCATAGCTACATCACGTTCAAGACCAAAGCCATTAATTGCCAACCAGGCTCCTCAGATCTCCAGTTGGACAGAAAGATCCAAATTGTGGAAGGCTACAAGTGTCGTGAGGGGTTTAAAAGCATGATTATAAAAGCGTCTATCTCCTAAGAGTAGTTTAAAAGGAGGAAATAAAAGAAATTTAATTATTTAAGCATTTTAAAAAGTAATTATAAACCAGGGTTAAGGATATATATATAATATACCCCTTAATTAAAAGGCAATTCCTACCTTATTAACTACCTTACTTTTTTAAGCAATTAATTTATACTTAAAAATATTAGCTATAGCTTACTAAGCAATTAACCATTTAACCTTTCCTATAATATATATATACTTTATTACTTAAACTTTAGCTACTTATAGCCTTATAACGTAATTTATAATTAATAATTAAAGCTTTTTTTTAAACTTTTTAATTAAATTTATATTTAAAAATACTTATTTTTATTAATTTTAAGTATTTTTTTAATTATATTAAAAATAATTAAAAGCAATAAAAAATAAGCTTTTAAGCTATAAATTATTTTACTTTTTCCTACCCTTAAGGTTTAAAAAAAGAAATATAAATACAGTTAAATTAATAAAAAGCTTATTAATAAAAATAATAAAAGCTTTAATGCTTTTATTAAAATGCTATTAAATAATATACTTAAAAGTAAGTTTTTTAATTAATTTAAAAATTAATTTTAAAGCGCATATTAATTTTTAATATAACTTTAAAAAACCTTTAAGTATATTTAAATAGCTTAAAGCTTAAGATAAAACTTTTTTTTAAGAAAAAGGTTAAAATAAAGTATAAAGAAAAGAAAAAAGTTATAAAAAAGCTTAAAAAGATTAATAAGCATTATATTTCTTATTTCCCTTATATTAAAAGCCTTATATATAGCTATAATAATAATCTTTATATAAATTATAATAATAAAGATAATTATTATTATTATTATATTTAAGGCAATTCTTATAAGCTGCTTTTAATATTTTTTTTATTATTTATACTTTATTTTTATTATACTTAATTTAATAATTTTTTAATATTTAAAAAGTTTTAATATGCTTAAAAAAAGGCCTTAAATATATATAAGCATAAAAAGTTTAATTTAACTTATATTAATTATATTCTTATAATTCCTTTTAATATTTAAAAAATTTTTATTTTATAATAATAATTTTTAAAAGTTAAAAAAAATAGGTATAAAAATATAATAAAGCGCTTTAAAGTTTAAATTATAATTACTTTAAAGTAATGTAATAAGATTAATATAAAAATTTAAAAGCTTTAAAACTAAGTTATTAATAACTTAAAAATTATAAAAAAAATATAAGAATTATATTATTATTTTAATTAAGCCTTTTAATTTTAAGGATAATATTAAGGAGTAAATATTATTAAATCTTAATTTAAAATTATAATTAAAAATTTAATTAAAGATTAAGAAAGTTTTTTAAAAAAGTTAAAAGGTTATTATAATAATTAAAAAAAGATTTTAAATTAATTAATATATTATTATAAAGGTTAAAAGATAGTTTTTAATTATAAAATAGTTTTTATATAAAGGTTATATTATAATTTTTAAAAAGTATAGTTTTTAGGATTTTTAATAAAAACTTAATAATAAAAATAATTAATAAATAAATTAATTCCCTTTTATTACTTTCCTTATATCTTAAAGATTTAAAAAAGCTTTAAAATATTTAAATTAAATATATAATAAAACTTTAATAAGTTTATTTATTAGCATTTTCTTAATTTCTAAGTATATAATATTAAAGGTACCCTTTTTAAATTCTTATTTTAATTATATTTACTAAATATTTATATATTTAAGCCTTATTTTTAACTATTTATACTTATTAATAATTAAGCATATAATTATTTAATTATTATAATAAATAATTTAAGGCTTGCTTAAATTTAAAGTTATATCTTTAAATAAGTATTTTAAAGCTATTATTTTTTTAGCTATAAGCTTTAAAATTAATAATTTAGCCTTAATAATTAAAATAAAAATAGTTATTTATTTATATACTTTTTAATATATAAAGCCCTTAAAAAGAGTTATTATATACCCTTAAGAAAATCTTTAATCTTCCTTATTATTAATAAATAAAGCATTTTTAATTATTAAAAACGCTTAAGCTTTTTAATTCTTTTTAAATTATAATTTAAGGAATTAAATAATATATAAATATTAAATTATATAATTTATTACCTTAAAATAATTTAAACTTAAGTTTATAAGGAATTTTAATAATATAAAGTAAGGAAATATTATATTTAAATATATTATAATTATTATATAAAAAATAAAATTAACTTTTTCTTAAAACTCTTAAATTTCTTATTTTAAGGCTTATTTAAAAAAAGGCTTAAGCTTTTCTTTAAATATTAAGGTAAATAATAAAAAGTTTTTACTTTTTAATAAATTATATTTATTTATTATCTTTTTAATATATAAGTTATAAAAAAGTATTATAATATATTTTTCTTAATCTTTAAAAATTTATATATTTAAGAATTATTAAGCTTTTTTTTAATTTTTTATTTTATATATAAATTAAATCCTGTTTTTAATCTTTATAAAGAATTTATATTTATTTTTAAAATATATAATTAAAATATTATTTATATAAAAAAGGATTGCTATTTTATAAGCTAAGTTAATAAAAAAATATAGCTTTTTTAAAAAGGGTTTTAAGCTTAAATTTTATAACATATAATTAAAATCTTTATATTAAAAAAATAAGGAGTTTCTTAATTTATAAAATACCCTTAAAAGTATTTTATATTTCCTTAATTCTTTAAATTTATTAAGTAATTTATAATAAATTTAATTTAATTTTTTTTAATTAATATTTAAAAATATAATTATAATATTAAATTATTAAATTTTTAAATTAAAGTATATAATAATTATTATTATTATTTAAAATAATTTTATAGCTAAGGTTATAATATATATGCTTTTTATAATAAAATAAGATTATAAGTTTCCTTAAATATAAATTTATACTTTAAAAAATTTAATTATTTTATCTTTATTAAGCTTATATTTATATATTTATTTTAAAAGTAATAATATTAATTTTGCTTTTTAATGCTTAATAATTCTTTAAATATTAAGCTTAATAAAGCTTTATATCTTTTAATATATTGCTTTAAGCTATTTATTTTAAAAAGGGCTTTTTTAAGCTTCTTTTTATATAATTAATTTTAAAGAGAGATTTTTATAATATTGTTATATTAAGTAAAGCTTAAATTTAATTTTAAGGGCTTAAATAATGGCTATTATTATATTATTTAAGGTTAAAAAATATAAATCCTTAAGTATTCTTTATTTTTATCTTTTAAGTTAATTAAGTAAAAAAGTAATTATAAAGTTACTTTAAAAGGTTATATTAAGGTAAAATATAGTTATATTTATTAAATATAATGATTAATTAAAGAATTTTTAAAAGCATTTATCTTAATTATATATTTAGGAAAATCTTTTTATAAATTTAAATTTTTAAATTTATTCTTATATCTTCCTTATTTATATTAACTAAGAGGATTTTTAATTTCTTATAGTTTTAAGTATATATAATTCTTAAAAAAAAGATTTAAATTTATTAGCCCTTATTTTATTAATAAAAGTATGTTTTTCATTATAAAAGTTTTATTTTAATATATTTAAGGTTTTTTTAAGGATTAAAAGTTTTTATTCTTAATTTCTTAAGCTTTTTAAGAAAGTAATATATAATAAATTTTACCTTTTAAATTTAAAAGTTTTTATTTTTAAGTTTTAATTAAAAGTATTAATTTTATTTTTTCTTAATATAAAATAAATATTAAATTTATTATTTAAATTAATTAAGTTATTTTTTATATAAGGTATTAAAAATATAATATAAATATAATTTTAAATCTTTTTAGTATTAATAATTTTAATATTTAGCGATTTTACTTTAAGAATTAAAAGCTTGTTTTTTACTTTATTTATTATTAATTTATAAAATATATTCTTATTAAATTATATATTCCTTATAAAGATTATTTATTTAAGTAAAAGAATTTAAATTTAAAAGATATTAAATATTATATAATTAATTAAATATTTAATATAAGCTTTTAATTCCTCTTTTATAAGGCATTTCTTTATATTATTTTTGCATTTCTTTTTAAGTATATATGCTTTGTATTTATAAGTATAAATATTATTTTAATAGGGTAATAAATAAGTTATGAAATATTAAATTTAAGTTAATTTAAATTATTAAAAATAATAAGAAAATTATATATATAAAAGAGTATTTAAGGCGCGTTTTCTTTTCCTTAAAATAAGCGATATATTATGTAATTAAGTTATAGCTTATATTGCTTTTAGCTAAAGGTTAAAAAGTAAATTAGCTTTTAATAATATAGTTAAGGTATGTTTAATTATTACTTTGCTAGCCTTTTTTATAGTATTATTTGCTT